CGGAGGGGCTTGTTCTCCGCCCTACGCACGCATTTTTCTTTTTACAGTTGGTCCTTTGCCCTGGGGTCTCCGCGAACGCTATGTACGACCGCCCGCCCCCACATGCACCAGATCTGGCGGCCGAAGCTTCGTCCGAGCCAGCACCCTCGCCAGCGCCCACAGCAGCACCCACGCGCAAGCGCAAGCCGCCCGCCGCATGCTGGGGGCAGGAGCTGAGTGGCTTGTCACAGTGTGCCCTGGTGGAGGCGCCGTCCAACGCCTTCAACCACCGATTCTGTGCTGTGTGCCGAAAACGAGGCGTCGAAATCCTAGCCTCCCGCATCCGCGAAGTGGTCGAGGTGGCGGGCTCGGCGCCTGTTACCAACGAGCATGCGGGCGGCGCGTGGAACATGAGGCGCGGCACGTCGCGGTGGCCTGAGCATCGCGTGGTGAACCAGACAACTGATTCTACGGGGCCGAAGCTCGTGATTCTGCGCGAGGAGACGACCGGCGAGCTGCCCGGCCTCGTCCCATTGCGGTGCGCGGCAGGGCACGCGGTTCTATTCCGAGTGGGTCGGACGCTCCAGCCGCGGGTGCCTCTCTGGCGGACCTCTCCCGTCCTCAATATCTCGTCAGGCTCCAGCTCGTCGACCGAGTCGCAGGCCCACAGCCGCGGAGAGACGCCGCCGAGCACAGTGGCCCCCCTCGCGCCCTGGAGCGACTTGTGGGAGGTCACCAGCGGGTCGACGGTGGATGGCATGTCCTGGACAGGCGCCATCGCATATGCCAGTGCCAGCGCTGGTGGCAGCACCAGCACCAGCACCAGCAGCAACGGCAGCAACGGCAGCAGCAGCAGCAGTAGCAGCAACAGCACCGGCAGCAGCACCGGCAGCAGCATCGGCAGCAGCAACACCGGTAGCGGCAGCAACAACAGCGGCAGCGGCAACAACAACAGCGGCAGCAGCAGCGGCAGCAGCAGCAGCGGCACCATCAGCGGCAGCGGCAGCACCATCAGCAGCAGCAGCTGCACCGGCAGCAGCAGCACCGGCAGCAACACCTTCTGTCCAGGGGGAGGAGCAGGAGCGGAGGAGCCAAGCGGTGTCTTGCACGGAGCGGAGGGGTACTTCGAAGACGAAGGCTTTGTTGACGAGCTCTTCACGGTCGAGCAAGTCGAGCAGTTCTTCTCGCCGCCCGCCTCGCCACCTGACCTGCTGCCGCAGCGCGGCGCGCCTCTTCCCTCGAAATTCTGGCACTACGCGCTGCCAGTGCTATGCTACGGCCACGATCTTCCTGGTATGCTCCGCGCGCTGACTACACGGTGGCACGGGGAACCCGAAGGGCCGCTGGCACTGGCCGGGCCGCTGGCGCTTGCAATGCCCATTATGTTCATTTGGGTCTCAATGATTGCCTGTAACCTCCTTGTCTTAGGACCGCTGACAAACAAACCACAGCCGCTGTCCATTCAGCTTGCGGGTACGGCTATGATCGTCTACCAATGCATTGTTGCTCTTTCTCGTTTTCAACTCACCAGTCAATCGGCCACAATCGAGGAGCTGGCCAGTTGGGGAAAACCGGCTCTTGACGCCGTCGTGGGCGTCGCGCTTCAAAGCGCTGCCAGCCTCGGCCAGATCGCACCTTGGACGTGCGTCCGCGCGCGCATTGGTTTGATGGGTGCTACGGGGGTATTCTGCAGCACAGTCCTGTGGTTCTGGACAGATGGCCGCGCCACTGCATATCCACCGGGCCCATCGACGTTTGGAATTTCCCTCTCAGTAGGGTGCTGCGGCCTGAGCCTCGTCCCGCTTACCAGCCCCAGCATGAGGCTTTGGCTTGGCAAGCCGTGGCGGATCAAGCAAACGGCGGCGGCGCCGGCGCTGACCGCTGTTGTAGACCCCTTTACGGGTAGCTCTCTTTCTCGCTCTAGTCTGTTGTAAGGAAAGGAATCACCTCGGGGCCCCAAATCGATCCTAAAGCGCAGCTTGCGATCCTAAAGCATTGATGCCGGCGGCCCACCCCGAGTACTCTTTTTCGCGCGCACACACCTCCCGCCTTTTGGGGGGGGCTATTGCACCGTCGCCGCTGTCGTAGGTGTGCTCTAGTCGTCTCCGTACGGGTACTCTCCGTCTCCTCCGTGGCCCGGCTCGGGCTCCTCCGGGGGCGGCGCCTCCTCGTATTTCACATCAACGTCGTGCGCCTGCGGCAAAGCAGGCCGGCGGGGGAGGGGTGGTGGGCAGGGCAAACGGGAGGCGGGGATCCCCCTCCCTCTGGTGGCTGCGGCGCGCGCTCGCCGAGAGCCACTCCGCGATCCACTCGGGCGTGAACTCCTCCCTTTTTCGGGGCACGGCGAGCGCAAACTTGGCTGCGCCACTGCTGTCGAGGAGCAGCAGCCCTGGGACGGGCGGCTTCTTGCCGTTGATAAGCGGCATCACGGGTGGCGCGCTGTACGAGCCGCTCCACGCGTATGCCACTTGCTGGCCAGCCGTCTCGTACGCAAGCTTGTCGAACGCCTAAGTGAAAAGACGGGAGACCCGCGGCATTGGCAATGCAAAGCCCGGGTGCACGTGGGTGCTGCGCGTGCGTGCCCC